TCCCCGAGGTCCTGACCCGCTGGCCTACGTCTGCGAGAGGCCCTGGGCTGCCTGGTCAACAGGACGGGGAGCAAGTCTGGGTTGCGAGGCAGCACAGGCATTTCTGAGCAGGGGAGCACGTGCCATCTGCTGGACACACCAGCCGCGGCACAGCAGCTCTGGTCCCTCCAGCGAGGGAAGGGGCCAGGGCAGAAGGACGGTGCAAGATCAGTCCGGGGGGAACCGTATTTATTGCTCCCCACGCTGTGGGCACTGCACAGATGGACCAGATCAGATCCAGTCTCTCTCACACACACACACACGCCAAAGGGCACCAGGCAGTGCTGCCCCTGTCACTCCTTCCTCCCAGGCTGGCAACCAAGGGCACATCTGTGCCCACAGCAGGCAGATGTGGGAGGCTGCATGGGGGCCACAGGAAAGGTCTCCCTGCATCCCCAGCCTGGCCCCCTGGGGCGAGGGCGGGGGTCAGGGCCGGGGGGCAGCAGGCCTCACACACTAGGCTCCCTGGGCCGGTGCCTGTGCCCAGCCTGGGCACCGCGCTGGGCCCCCTTCATCAGGCCCTTGAACTGCCCCTGCAGCTTCGCCTTCTTCCTGCGGGAGAAGGATGAGGTATAGGTCAGGTCAGGTCAGGTCAGGGCACCAGCACAGTTCAGATCCAGGAAAGCTGGGACCTAACCCGGCTCTCACCATGACCCACCCCAACCATGGGCAAGAGCACTGGGTGCACCCCCCAGGCGAGCGTCCGCACCGTACCTCCTGTTGAGCTTGGCCCTGTTGAGGGGGATGTAGGCGTAGGGGTCTGGCCGGCCGGCCTTCTTCACGTCGCCTCTGCCTTTCTGCGGAGCACACGGACAGTGGAGAGGGACGCATGCAGCCGGGGGCAGCTGCCGGCCTGGTGAGGACTGGTGCCCCCTCCCCCTGAACCTGGGGCCTGGCCCCACGGAGCCAGCAGCAGTGTCCCTGGGGTGGTCCCCAAACCCACCAAGCCTTCTGCAGGGGTGTGGGCTCAAGGGATGGACAGAGGGGCAGAGGGCCTGGAGGGGCACAGCCCCATGGCACCTCCCAAGCAGGGGGTTTTGAAGCCTCCCCCAGCAGCGCTGGGTACTGCTGCAGCCCAGGCTGAGGCTGGGGATGGGGCTGGGCTGTGCCAGTGCTCCTTCTGGCACCAACCCTGCAGGGTCCTGGCTGGAGGGCCTTGCCCCCGCGCTCAGGCTCAGCCCAATGCTGCACTGGGGCAGGAAAGGATTTCCCCCCTGCTTAGACTGGTTTGCACTGGGGGGTTTTGACTTCCGCTGCAGCGGAGGCACGGCCTGGACCCGGGCTCTCTGCAGTCCCCATGACCCCCCCCTGGCAGCAGCAGGACGTTTGTGGCTGTGGCCCCCCTGTATCCTGGGGCCAAGGCGACTGCAGCACAGGGTTTCTCTGGGCTGGTTGGGACGGGACTGATCCTGCCTCAGGCAGGGGCTGGACTGGACATGACCCCGCAGCCCCAGGACTCTACCAGAGCCCCAAGCCTGCTGCAGCCCCAGGCTGGGCCCGAGTGTCTCGGCTCTGGGCAGCTGCCTCTGGCTGCACCCAGGGCTCCAGGGCAGGGCATAGAGGAGACACCACAGCACAAGGGCTATCAAAGCTGGTGCCAACCCCACTACCCCAGGGGCAGGTGCCATAGGGGGCCCTTACCTTGGACGTGTAGTCAGCCCCAAACGCTGCCTCCTTGCCCAGCGGCCGGTGGATGCCAGAACCTCCCGCTGCGACACAAGACACAGGGCAGGTCAGACAGGGCACAGACATGGTGGATGGGGTCCTGCCCAGGCTGCAGCCCCAGGGGAGCATGGTGCCAAGGCTCCCAGCTCCAGGGGGGCTGACTGAGCTCCCGCCCCAGCCCGTGCAACCAGCCGAACCCTGCCCAGACACAAGCCTGGCACCCCCTGCTCTGCCAGGGCGAATGGGAGGGGAGGGCAGACACTACAGGGCCTGGGAGGCAGGGATGGGGGAAGTACCTCTGTAGTGCGATGCAGTATCGCCCTCCAGCTCCTCGTCACCTGCCTCCTCGCGGAACCGGCGCTTCTGGGCCTTCTTCTGCAGAGGGAGAGGGGGTGGCTCAGCAGGGAGCCCGCTGCCGCCCAGCCCAGCCCAGCCCAGCCAGCCCCAGGCCCTGGCTCCCCCAGCTCCTCTCCAAGGGGGCAAGAGCTTAGGGACACCTGCCCAAAGAGCCTGGAGAAAGGTCCAGGTGCCAGCTCCAGCCCCTAGATCCCCAGTCACCCCACACTCACACTCCGGAGCCCCATGTCCTGCATCAGGTCGGCCGTCTCCTCGTCCATGTCTGCAGCAGGGAACAGCCCGGTCAGAGCTGGACAAGGCCAAGACCCTGCACTGGGGCCTGGGCCCTCCCACAGCGCCCCCATGACCCAGGGACTGGCCTGCCCCAGTCGGGGCACACCAGGCTCCTGCCTGGACACAGCGAGCTGGACCCCGAGTGGGGCTGCCCAGGGTCCTGGGGCCTTGCGACTCCCCAAGCAATGCTCCCGATGGGGGAAGAGCAGGCGGCTTGTGCCCCCAGCATTGGGCAGCCTCCGCAAGCCGTGCGCCAGGGGCTGCTGCACAGGCTCCGGCCCAGGACAAGGGTCCCCATAAGGCTCTGTCGTGGCCCCAGGCCATCCCCCAGCCCCCTCCAGTACCTCTGGCTCTGCCGTTCTCCTCCCTGTCCTCATCCTCGTCTTCGCGGATGATGAGGCGCCCATCCTCCGACACGCCAAAGTCGCGGCTCGCTCTCCCCGCCCGGCTGCTGCCCGGCCTCGTGGCTGCGTGAGCAGAGGAGGGGTCAGCTCCTGGGCAGTGCTGGCCCCCCTCGCAGAGGGTTCAAAGTCCAGCCAGGAACACGGCCCCCCGTGCCCAAGCCCTGCTGTCCACCGCTGCCCTGGCCCCGCTCCTCACCCAGCACCCGCTGTGCCACGTTGGAGTCCAGGAAGTTGAGGGGATCGTCCCCTGCACCCTCCTTCAGCCAGGCCTGGCCCCGGGGCTGCCTCGGCCCCCTCCTGCCCCTCTCCTCCTCCTCTTCCTCGTCTGAGTCAGCCAGGACCTCCTCCATGCTGGGGCCAGAGACAGTGAAGGGTTAACAAGGCTGGGGCGAGATTGTGGGGCCACCCCACACTGCACCCCCCAGGGCTCCCCATGCTCCTCCCCCAGCCCCTGCCCTCACCTGTCCCCTCTGGGTTTAGGCAGCGCCTCGGGGTCCTGGTTGCGAGTGGCCGCCTGGCGCAGGGGGCGCTGGCTCCGCCCGCGG